ACCTGACTGAGGGGTCCCCCCCATCTGCACGAATTCCTGTCCCCACTCCCCCGCTGCCTCAGACACCTGACTGAGGGGTCCCCCCCATCTGCACGAATTCCTGTCCCCACTCCCCCGCTGCCTCAGACACCTGACTGAGGGGTCCCCCCCATCTGCACGAATTCCTGTCCCCACTCCCCCGCTGCCTCAGACACCTGACTGAGGGGTCCCCCCCATCTGCACGAATTCCTGTCCGCACTGCCACCGAGGCCCCGGGGCTCGGGCTGCCGCGGCGGGCGGCTTGTCCGTCACGGCTCGTTGGAATTTGCTCTCCTGCCCCCTCTTTGTCCAGCTACGTCACCCGGGTTCCAGCTTCACAACTCACTCAAGTCTCTCTGACACTCTCTTGTGCCTAACAAATGCTTCTTTATGGCACCAGTCACCACGCCACCTGCGGCTATTGCTCATTTCTGTTTTTCCGACAAAGCTGAGGTCTGCTCTGGACTCGCATGTGCGGTGTCTGCAAAGAGAAGGGATGCAGGGTGGCTGTTCCCCTGCCGTGACCTGGGGGGTCTAGAACGTGGGGGGCCCTGTGTCTAGTGGACGGGCGAGCTCTGCTTGTGTCCAAGGAGATGTGGTGGCAGAAGCTGGCCCGGACTCCTGCCCATGGGCGTCTCTGTCCAGCAGCAGAAGAGGAACACGCATATGAGCCCCAGGAGCGAACCCAAGCAGAGTGGCAATGAGAAGGTTTCCTGGAAATACATTTAAGCCTAATTTTTAAGCAAGTAACAGAAATTTCCAAATCTGAGGTGTGGCACTTTCAAAATTACAGAAGCAGAAAGAACTGTTCTCTGCAAGAAGCATCGTAAACTACAGAAACACACCGAAAAGAGTTTGGGTGCAAATAGGAAGCGACACTGGTGGGACAGATGGCTGGCTGGGGACCTTGAAGGCACAGCGAGGAAACGCAGATTAGACGGGAGAGGCAACGGGGAGGCTTTCTGCACCCCGGAGGAGGGCAGCTCTAGAAAAACAGCGGCGCTTGCCGATGGCGAGCCCTGGGATTCTGAAATAATGAAGGTAGTTACAGTGTGCACTGTCTAATTGCACACGGGCAATTTATAGCAAGGCTCGTTTCTAACCTAAACCAAATAGAGTATTAAAATAAACCAAAGACAGACACTGCCATCTGAATCAGCTCCCCATGGAATAAATTTCCGTATTAACGCTCTGCTGTTCAACATAATTTGTGTATAAATCTGTCTCTTGACCGACGCAGAAATCTAATATTGATTGCCCGAGGAGCATCGCGATGGCCCAGACCCATTATTCATCTGCCATCGCTACAGACATATACTGAGATCAAAACCACAAGCCTCCTTCTTGCCGCAAAATGGATTTAGTTTACCGTGATGGGTCTAAAATCTATACGAGGAAGGCTGAGGGGATAGTAAATGAGGAACAAAAATAAAATATAGGCATGTGCTCCAAAGCCATAGTATTATACAAGCATCATGCATTCCCACACTTTTTTTCACATTGCCCATGACATTGAATCCCAAAAACAAGTTACTGTTACAGAGTATATTTCTCTTTTCAATGCCTACTTCCTAAGTATCTAACAATTTCAAAGATCACTCCCAATTTGATTTTTAAAAAAAAAACACACAAAAAATGGGATCTGCAGCATTTCAGGTTCCTAGGACTCCTCACCTTTGCTAACTGAATAATCCCCCATTTACTAAACTGTTCATCTCCCTTTATCTCTTCAGTGGCTTGTGAGGGTCAAAAACTGTTACTCTTCCATTTAATTTCCGAGGATTTCCTCGCCGTATGTCTCTTTCAGGAGGATCACAGAGAACCGGGTTCCCCTGTGACAGGTTACAATAGAGCATGCTGGCTCGGGTCACTGACTTTACTTGAAATACAATGATAAAAACGATGCTGAATGAAAGAAACGATTTTTTAAAAACTAAGCCACAAGGAAGAGTCACCTCAGTTTTCTGGAGATGAGAGAAAGAGGCATTTTCTGGCCTGATTTATCTAAGTAATTGCTCCAGACTTTCACCTCATCTGGCAATAAATACACAATTTCATGAAACTTTATACTGAAAGTATAGAGCTGAGCAAGCTCTATTTTGGCATCTTAAAGCCACTGATCTTCTAATTGTCTCATGTAAACAACAACCCCCCTGCCTCCTTACCACCTTGCATTTCATGAATCCATTCTCCAAATCAGCTTGTTCCTTGCCCAGTAGCCATGACATTCAACTCTAGTCATGACAGCAATATAAGGGCTAAGTTTTAAAGTTTCTCTATTTCATTCACAATATTTCTCTAACTTATCTGGCTTTGGCTCTTCTTGTTTTTCAGTTGAACTAATTCAGACCGGAAAAAAACAACACACGCAAAAAAAACATGTATCACTGAAGACGAAAGTCGTTCCCTATAGAAGGCAGCTGCCTTCCTTGGAAACGATTCATTTAGAACAGTAGCAGCTTCCAGACTTCGCACATTACTTCCCCAAATTTGCTGAATTTAGCACCAGCCAGCTTGGTACTAAAACACTCAGAACTCGAAGACATGTGGGTGAGCTCCCATCTTCCTGTGCAGGCTCATTCCACACACTCACAGAGCCACGGCTCCCGAGCTCTTTGTTGTATTTCTTCTTGTAAACACATCCTTGTGGCATTTATCAAAATCGGGCAGAGATCTGCCGGCTTGGAACCTTTTAAGTTCCTTTGTGATTTTGGTTTAAATCATGTAGGTGATGAAATACTGAATTTGTATTAAATTCTGGATTAATCACTACTGTTTCTTCCCTGTTTAACAGTATTACTAACAGACATTAAATGTCCATGACATGTGTGACATTAGAGGAGGGTATCATATAATCCAGAAAACATTCTTCACTTAAATGAGCTCATGGTTCATTTATTATCAAGGTCATTTATTTATAAGAAAGATCTTGCCAACTCACGACTCTGCCTGGAGTGTGTTTGGTTACCAGACGCCTGTAAGTGCCTATTAAATTGCATTTTACAGTCACGGTGGCCAGGAGCCTACGTTCCTGAGTTATATCGTGGCACCTATAAAAAAACCATCACGTTACACAGATCTAGGTGCCTGTGACCACTGCCAGCAGCCAGAGGACATCCGCTTTAGGGAGTGTCCTCTTTGTCCACATGGCCTGCCATTTCATCTGATAGGCCGCCCATCTGTTCGTCCGGATGCCACTCTCTAGAGTAACTGGGTTAAAACTATAAGATGCTGAAAAGCACTCACACTGCCCACTGCATTTTTAATTGATTGATATTTATGTCAGTGACTTCTCATTTCACAGGCTAGTGATTAAAATTGTTTTGTGTGACAGTGTCTTAAGAGGTAAACACCATCTTCGATTTTTATTCAGTACATGAAATCATTGAAGATTAAGGTGATTATCGTTAAAGGAGTACATGTTGCAGTGAGAAGCTATGGAGTTTTGTACTTTAGAGCTTTGCCTCTGAAGTCAACTTGCCAAGGTGAGAATGAATCCCTGCTCCACCTGTTACTAACTCCGTGAATCTGGGCAAGTTACCAGAGTTACTGGGAAGATTTAATAAAGAATCAAATATGTTATTTTACATATAATAATTCCTAAGTAAACATTTGCTATTATTATCAATAATCACCTTGTTTGATATCTGTCTCAAATTGGTATAATAAAGTTAAGAACCAAACATTTATTACATTTTAGATGGAATGTGCTACATGGACACATTACAAGATGAATCCAATCTCTCAAATGTGCTTCACTGGATTTTAAATATAACCCGTATGATCCATATTTTAAGAACGATCCATTTTTAAGCCTTTTCAGCGATGCCTCACGCAGCGTTTATCGAAGCCGGTTCCTGAAATCCTAGAAACCAACGTGTTATTGACGAGCACACACAGAACAGGCGACAGCCTTAGAGAAAGCAGAGGGGATGTTCACAGAAGTTCCATTTTCTGACTCATTTAAACCTAAATTCCAAACACAATTCATCCTAAAAATGCCAAAATGAATTTCTGCAATGAGCAAAGTGACAATGAATCCATAGCAAGTATACCATTTTCTTCAATGCAGGCACAGGCACTTGCAAAGCCTTTCAACCCTCATTTTCATGCAGACAATAAAACCCAGGTGATAATTAATTTACAAAGCAAAGGAAGATTCGGAAGGAAAAGAAAGTCAACAAGGTTAATACGCAGACTCTGGAAACAGGGACATGAACTCCTTTGCTTGGCGATGGTACAGTTAGCTCAGATCTTTGGAAACTCCTGCTGCTGAGCCCTCTCAGGTCCACTGACTGCCTCAGAACAAAAGCTGCCCTAGTCAGCAAAGTACTGGCCAGATTCACTGTATTTATTCACCGTATTATTTGTATTAATTTCCCTCCTGGGTATGTTGCTTTTCAGTATTAGGAAATGAATCCATAGGGAGAAACTATCATATATGCAAAGCATAGCAAAGCAAAATTATTAGGCTGAAATTAGTCTCTACATATACAACTTATAAACACTCAAAAAAAACTCTTTCTTCAAACACAAATTCTCTGAAATTTCAATATTAGAGCAACCACAATATTAGAGATACCAGACTATCTCACAGAGCTAATGATACAAACTAGATTAGCAATTAGACCTCCACATCGCTGTTAAATATGGCACTTGATGTATTTCATATCAAAGACAACCACCCATGATGGAGGAGGGCTTGCATTGGTTAGCACAAAAATTTTTTGATTAAAGTGCATTTTTTAATTAAAATTGATATAACACAACAGTTTTAAAATCACTAATTTCTTTTAGTTGATTCAAATCTTACTGTTTGACCATATATTTTGAAGATACACATATATCACTTATGTACCAAAAAATAAAATTTTTTGCCTTGAACTTCATAAAACTCATACATAGTCCAGTTGTTCATTTTAAAATAATTAGAGTTAACAATCATCATATTGTGGCTTTAAGAAGTAAAATATAGGTCTTACCTCTTCCCACTGATGTATGTATCTGATTAATCTTGAAAGTCGTAACAAACGCAGGAGACTGAGGATTTTTGTAAACCTCACGATGCGCAGTGCCCTGGCAGTCTTGTAGACCTCTGAATCCATTCCCTTTTCTACAATGAGGAAGATATAATCCACTGGGATCGATGAGATGAAGTCAACCACAAACCAGCTTTTTAAATAATTCATTTTGATTACTTTAGGGTCCAGGATGATTTCAGAGCTGTCCTCGTTGACAGTCCCAGTCCTAAAATTCATGATCAGGTCCAAGAGGAACACTGTATCTGAGGCCACGTTGAAAATAATCCACGGTGTTGTAGTTTGTTCTGTAAAGAATGTTATTCCAACGGGTATGATGACCAGATTTCCAACCATCATTATGAGCATTATTAAATCCCAATAAAACCTACAACAAACACAAAATCATAACGTAAGATGCAGACAATAACCAGACCATCCCCCCCATAAAAAATTATTACTGATTAATGGTTAATAAATGAGTAAAAGAACAAAGTGATGGTTTTACAAATAAGGTAACTAACTCCTTCAATGGCAACAAATTTAAGTCTAAATAAAATTAACATATTCCTAAAGCAAGGTATTGTGATTACAGAATTCTAAAAATTATTTGGTGTCATGTTATAGAAATAGATTCAAAAACACCCATAACTCCATTTATCTAGTAAAGGAGTAAAAACAACCTTTCCCTGTAGTTTACATGGAAACCGGGAGCATAAAACCAGAAGATCTACCTTAAAAACCTACTTTGGGGCACATTCTTTGGAGGCGCTTTGAAGTACTTTATATGTCACATTACAAATCACAGATTAGAATACACGGCCGGGCCGTGGCTCAGCGGTTGAGCATCGACCTAGGATCCAGGCGATCAGGGTTCGATTCCCAGTCAGGGCACATGCCCGGGTTGCGGGCTTGATCAATGACTCTCTCATCATTGATGTTTCTATCTCTCTCTCTCTCCCTCTCCTTTCCTCTCTCTGAAATCAATAAAGATATATTAAAAAAAAAAAGAATACACAGTAATAAATAGGTTACACTAAAGACATGGGTACCGCAAATTTCTTCCTGGGAGATTAGGTCAAACATGGATTCTAGAATAGCCCATAGCTTCACAGCACTCCAAATGTTTATGCTTTAGTCTTCTTTAGTTTGAGATAGGAAAACTAATTTTTTTCTGAGGCTAAAAATAATTGAAAAGATTCTACTCTAGATGTGAAACAAGAATCTATGATTATTAACTACCTTTCAAAACACTCTTATCTCACCTTATATTAAAACTGAGAGAAAACCAGGAACTTTTAGGTGATTCCAGGTTAACATATTATAACTAAATTCTTCAGAGATGATTATGTTATTTTCATTTGGATTCTTTCAAAGTCTACTGACACTATCAGCAGACTATTTATACTGGTGACAGTGTATCCTTATAACAAGAAAGACACAAATCCGCAGCACATCTCTGCAGTAACGACAAGTCTGAAAACATGAGTCACTTTATCCTGGTCATGTGTGTCCTGTTTTGGAAGTTCTGCCACATAAACTTTTATGACGGAAATTTCTGTTAACCAAGATATTTTTATCTAACATTCCTTCTCCCACTTAGATTGTTTGGGCCACATTTTGGTAAGGGGTCCATTCGCATGCACCTGTCAAAGTTGCGATCATCCCTAATTATCAGTGGCTCCTGGGATAAAAGGCGCTCCCCCCTTGCGTCCACCCATCCCCAACATTACAGAAACGGCAAATGTTGGTCATTTTGAAGATTCTACCAATCTCTCTGTCAAAGCGAACCTAGACATTTACGGACAAGTACACAAATACCCATGTCAAGCATACATTGGGCACCGGCAATTTCAACGAAACCTTTCGTCTTTTTTTTCTCTAAATGGAAATGTGCACAATGTGCCACTTAGCACACCAAGGACAAAGGAGAGGTGGAGACAGGATGCAACACCGTAACAGTTATTTCACAAGGAAGCGACATCATCGGGCTCCCAAGTGGAATCGAGTGAGGCCCGAGGACTCGCGCTGTGCGCTCCTCTTCTCCGGTCTTCCGTGGGCTCCTGCCTCTGGCGTCCCTGGGAGCTGCTGTTCCCCTGGGTGTCATAAGCAGCCTTTTACCTTCCGCTCCACACAGGCTCTTTGGGCAACACCATACACCCGTCCATGTCTTCCGTGGTAATTTGGAACTGAAGACCCCAGAAGCTTTACCTCCAGTCCCTCCCCGTCTTCAAGCCTCCGGACCCTCTAAGCTGAACCTGCCCCCTTGCGTGTCTCACACTCTGCTTATTAAACAGGGCGCCCAGGCTCTGCCTCCCCATCTGGCCCCCACATACCCTCCTCATGTCCCCTCCCTCAGGGAATAGAACCCTGTACCCCTGATTTGCAAACCAGAAACCTTGGAGCATCCGAGATAGCCCCAGGCCCTAAACCTGCTCAATCTCATAGTCGGTCACCGAGGCTGCTTGGTTCTAATACCCAGATATAAGGTGTATTCATCCACTGGTCCTTAAGGATCCCCACTGTAGCTGTCTCCAACCAGACATGCTTACCAGTGGTTTAATTTGGAGACGAGTTACTTAAATTCTCTAATACTACATTTTCTCATCTGTAAAATGAATATTATTATAGAACCAAATATGTAGAGTTTTACAAATTAAATAAAATAATATATATAAATCACAGATCCTTGCATAGAACAACAAACTCCGGACACAATGCTGGTGGCCCATTTAGTATTTGTTTACTTTCCCTTACCAAAAGAAATCCGTTTTTATGGGGACTGGCCAGGAGCCCATTGAAAAATACTCACTTCTACAGACATCTCTGTATTTCTATCATTAAGATAGGAGCTACTTTTTTAAGGAAAGGTCATGTCCTATCCATCTTAGTCAACAGAGATGAAAAGTATGAAGTGCCATCCAATCTTTATTATTGCAATGATGTTTACTCCACCATAGCTTTTTATTACTGGCATTTAACACGGCCTGAAGCCATTAGATGTATCGATATCAACATGAAGCTCCATTAATCCTTAGCATGTCCTTTTAAAGTATCATTGACTCTATTTCATAGACATAAACACAGGCCCTGTTATAGACTTCGCATAATACAACTCCCTAGTTAACATGTGTTCACTCTCTGCTAGTCAAGAAAAATATACCTATCACCCACTCCAGAAGTGTGGTGTCACTTCTTTATTTTTAAACAACACATACGTCCCTGAAAACTGACCTCATGAGGTTCTCTGGCCTACCTGCCCACAGGTTTCTCCTCTTGACTCCTAGCTCTGCAAATTTCCCTTGGACACTCGGGCTCTCCCTCATCTCTCAGTTTCTGTGTCTCACACGTTTCATTACAGAATTATCTTCCCTCTATTCCCTCTTCCCATCCCCACTGTTCTCCCTCCAGTCAGGGCAGAGCTACCTACCCCTTGCTTAGCATATTTCAAGAGTCCCCAGAATACGGCATCTGGTTCAATCTACTCGCCAGTCCCAGAGCAGCCTACCTAACACGGAGCGCGCCAGGCCAAGAACCATCAGTGACTCTCTCAATTCAATAGAAACAACTTATCCTGGTTTCCAAAGAAAACCTTCGCAGCCTCTACGTTAACGCTTTATGGCAAGAACCTCGTATCTCAGGAGAGAGTCCCTGCCATGCGCACCTGGGTCCAAGTACAGGAGATACAGTTACTTCCACTCTACCTGTTATTTTTCCTGTTAGCATCACCTGTCCTTCAGGTCTCATTCTGGTGATAAGTTTCTTAGTTGCTGTTTTGTTGTTGTTTTTCACAAGTCCCAGAACAACATATATTTTCAGTGTGCTTCTTATTTTATTATTTCTTACGTCACTAATTATTTATCCTCCATCATCACTGGATTTAAGTTTACAGAAGTTCAAAATTATATCTTGTCTTTTGTTTAACTTCTGCAGGAATGTAAACAGTATCTAGACAAGCCAGTGCGAGAAGCTAAATTAATTTAAGTTTTAATGGAAAGATGCACTTCAGTGGGGGTATTTAAAGAAATCCTTCTTAATAACCCAAAGAGCCATTAATGCAGTAAATAATTTCTTAATTTACCTTTTACATAACACTGAATTTTTATCATTGAGGATTTTATTAACATAGAATACATTAAAATAAATTAAATAAGAAACCAGATTAAGAATATGTTCTCAGGTTAGACAGCCTGAAAGCAAAACAGGTCTAGAGTTGCCAATTGGTTTCATAGACTACGAAACTCCCCTCCTTTCCTTCCTGCTCTAGACGGACACCAGTTATTTGTATAAGATCTTGGCTGGCTCCTGAAGGCAGACTGGGTGGGGTTCAAACTCTAGTTCTCCCGGCTGCACGGACTGGGCCAAGGGGTTTGCCGCCGGGAACTTCAGCTTCCTTGCCCCTCACTCTCATTTACGCGCCAGCAGAGCCGGGCTGCCTGGCCTTCCGCTGGCGCCCCCTTGCCTGCCTTACCCCTACGCAGGCGGTGGCACCCCGGCCAGCTCTCATCCCGGCTCGGGCTCCCTCCTTCCCCTCCTCGGCCCCGCAGGCCCACGTGGTGCCCAGATGGCCCCAGGGCCTGGAGACCAGTTAGGCCCTTCCCACCAGCCCCGCAGGCCAGCGCCTCCGATGGCCCAGAGGAGCAGCCACCCAACGGGCCAAAACCCAGACAGCGACCTTATGGCCTCAGGATAACCCTCCGGGCATTCTTATTTCTGCTTATTACAGCATGTCTGCTTCTTTGTCTTCTTCCCACTGGCCTCCAGGTGTAAAACTTAAAAAATGCTTCCTGGCTCCTTGTGCCCGGCTCTGGGTGGGACCAGCCTGACGGGGCTTCTCACACAACAGCTTCCACCGTCAGCTCTTCCCGCTCGTTCCACTGCCATCAGTCCCCACGACGGTTTTATGATGCCATGACTCTGCTTACTAATGTTCCTGTTTCCACCTGCCCCAGCAAATGACTCCTACTTACAGCCACCAGACTCCTTATCGCCTTCACGATGAAGTGCGATCACTCAGAATCCTCTCCCCGTCCCAATTCTTTACCTTGAGGCTCAGCATTTGGCAGGTACATGGTCCTCAGCTAAATTAAAGGCTCTGTGTTTCAGATGCCTCATCTTTGTCACTGCTGACAAATGTCTGGGGTGTCCCTCTCCTACGACCCAAACTCCGACCTCAGGTTCTCTTTGTGATTTCAAGCATTTGCAGATACCTACTAGTGGACAGTGGATACTTTAGCACAATTTAGCGCAATAATAATCTGGTAAATAAGGAACAATTGATAAACAATGTCTGCAATTACTGCTTTTGTGCTCCTTCTGGCCAAACTGTACGCCGATCTTCTTTATACCTGAATCGCCTAGCAAACGATATGCATACCGCCAATTTCCCAAAGATCAAACTTCAAATTAATCACAGTTATGTTAATGAGGGTTTATTACAATATCATAAGATTGTAATTAAAATATATCATTTGTTCTTTTGGATGGTTTTGAAATTAAACAGGTACAGGCCTTCTGTATTTCTCCTTGGTGGTAGAATGATGACGCATACTTTTAAACTATTTTAATTTTCTTGCTTTAGACAACAGAAAGATGTCATTCAAGGGTATTTTCATTATGTCATTCAGATTGACTCCAGTGAAGTCAATTTTCATTCCACTGAATCAAAACATCTGTTTACCCCTCCCTGTCACACACGAAATATATTTCTATAAGTCTACAGCTTTCATCAAAAACGCAGAATGGAGCAGAACTCCCTGAGGACTGAGTAGGTCTACGCTGCAGGATTCTATCTGTGTGACCACATAGAGATTTTTTTATAAAAATGAAAACCCTGAATTTATAAAAGGCAAGTAGAAAACTTATAAACAGCTCCTACTGTTTAAAGTTAGGCTTAAAAATTGGACTTTAAAAAGTTCAATCTAAAACGACTCCTTAGCTTCTCGATATTTTTATTTGACTTGTCACTGAGTGATTTTCAAAATAGTCAACGCAATGACAGCCATCCCGTGGGAATGAATCAAAATTATACCCATTTTTTGTCAGATTGGAAAAAAAATATATTTGTTGGTGTGCCACAGAATTTTAGCAATTAGCTTATGTGTGTCATGAGATGAGAAAGGTTGAAAATCGCTGCCTTAAAGGAAAGCAAATACATGGTCAGCGGTCATGTCAACCAAAATGCGTTCTAGCATCATTCACTCTAGCGTAAAAATCCCATAAGTTCGTGTCTATTTGTTAAAATGTTTCCAAGGACAGACTGAAGGAAACTTGGCATTAGCTCATCTTAACGACAGTCTCATGACACAGACACTGAAGCCACCTTCACTTGGAAGCTCAGTGAATGACTATCAGTCGCTACGGGCTTTCTATTTGCTGATCTACTCTCACCCAGCCACTGAAATTTTGCAGAGGAGGAACATGACTGAATTCCTCCCTGTCTAAATACATAGCTGAATAAAGGCTCATTCCAGTTTGGAGATTATAATTTCAGAATCATTCTTCCCTCGTTGCTACTGTAACCTTTCCACCACCCGGCTTGTTTTCAGATCGTCCAGTTTTTCTTTCTTGTCGCTGATAACGCGGGTCACTGCCCGTTTCCTGTTACTCTGCGGGTCCCAACCAACCGCACCTCTCTGTCCATCCCCAGGCTGCCGACGCCCCACCGATCACTCGCACCATTGCTCTAGTTTGAGGGTGTCGTGGAAGGTGCAGAATCAGTGTCCAAGCATATTCTTGTGCCCTTAAGTCTGCCAAATAGCTACGTTTTAAGGGAGGTTTGGAACATGTTCATGGTCTTGATTTCTATATATGGAAATTTACCTCACTGAATATTGAAAAGGATGGTAGCCTCAGGGCAACAAAGCACAAGTAATACTTATTAGATAACACTTTGTAAACATTGTCTCATTTAATACTTAGATCAAAGCAGTAGAAAGCATTGTTTAAATTTAACAAGAGGAAACGAAAACCCATCCAGCTGAGGCCTTTCTTAAATTCTTGCAGGCAGGAAAGAGCCCATGACCAACATCCACACTCCAAACTCCTTCCACCATATTAAATGCCTGACTAAATGATTCAAGGATTTAAAGTAGCATTAAAGAAAAAAGCTTTCCCACACACAGTAGGGCGGCAAACCCCACTTTTCACCAGTCATGATGAGTCACCA